CAGTACACTACTATTAAATCATCGATTAAATTTAAAAATTGATTTCAATAATCGGCAACACTGGAAAATGGATGGAAGTAAAAGGTACGTCACGTGATTTGGGGGAACGCACCCAGTCAGTTTTCCTTTGTATCGAGTTTCCAGATAATTCGAGGGCGCCCTCGCTGCGCAACAAAAATATCGGACCAATCTACACCTCCATTTTGCTTTGAGTAGGCAAATGTGCAGTCGAGTTGCCTTTGTATCTCGCTGCAAGATAAACCATGAACGCTTTGAAGGGAGTTAGTTGATGATGTTCGATGATGCTCCAGCTGCCGACTATATTGGCGACTGCTGAATATCATCGTGGTTAGCAATAACTAATATTAATGACAAAATGACGGGCCTAGGGGAAGTGATATTGAAGGTGGAGAATAATGGGGTTTCAAAGATGTCCAGAATTTCCAAAAAACGAGGTTTTTAAAACATTTATTTTAATTTTAATAAAATAAAATATCGCTTGCTTAACTTTTTTCAAATGCTTTGTCAGAATCACTTTTTGCTAGTTCACTCGGATCGGATGATAATTCAAACATATGACTATTTACAATTCTGTAGTTTCATTTTTTTTATCTAAAAATATGTAATATTCAAAAGCAGCGGTCCCAAATTGTATAAACAAGATAGAATTTGTTTTGACAACATATAATTTTATTAGTACACATATAATAATCGACATGTGCAAATGTATGAAATAGTTCGGTGAAATATAAAAAGAAATAGTATATTATGCAACAAGTGCGGTAAACGGAATTTGACTCACGATTTGACACGAGCGGAGCGAGTGAGTTAAAAAATATACTTTTTCTACGACCGTTAGTTTTTCATTTCACACATTTTCACAAACCACGAATACATTCACTGACAGGACCGTCAAAATTGACAAACGTCAAAATTCAAAGCGTGGGAAATATCTCCGAAAACATCCGATTGCTCCCAAACCCGTGCGGTAAAATCCCGGAAATATCCGAATTGGCTCGGATTCGTGGGAAACGAAACTGACGTGGTAAAGCGACGCTTTCCGCACGTAATTAGGTATTTTACAGACGGGAGTAGAGAAACACATTTCACCTCGGTATTAGACTATCCGAGAAAATTGAAAAAAAAAGTAAATCGACCAGGAAAAAAAACTGGGTATTATTTTCGAAATTTAGTTTTATTCTACGTAATTGTTTTATTGATTTTTTAAACATTGGTTTCTACAGAAATTTCTGGTATTAACTGTACTATTTAAAAGCTAAAACAAATTCAAATCTTTCTTATTTTAATGCTGTTTAGTCTATCTCTGCAAGGAAAGTTATAACTCCAAAATGAGCTAACGCGTTTCAATCAACTTGGAGACATTAAAGGGCTTCTCTGAGTGACGCGAATGCGATTGTTTACCTTACCACCAGGTGGCGCATTAGATAGTTTTCAATATCTTGATCCAAACGTAAAATATGAATAACTTAACTTTCAGAAGAGTTGGATTTTTAGAAAAAAATCCACTTTACATTTCTAAATTCAGCAAATGCAAAATAATTTAAACGGTAGGTAATCGAGAGACTTTCACTAGGAGCATGTATCGACATGATGCCGACGTTGCCTATGCCGATTATACAGGAATTTACAAGCAACTATGAAAAAAATGTTGAGAAGGTTCATTCAATAAAATCTCGTTTTTGAACAATGGGAAAACGAGTGAAGTATGTCTGAAACGCTGTTTGGAAAGAAAATGGCGCAAAGTATAGGTTAGTTTGTGAAATATAGAGGCACGCGCGGAAAATCATTTCCTTTTCTACGAAAATATGAATGTCGCCTGCGGCCCTTCAATTTTTACCGTAATAGGAGCAGTGTATTATTTAATAACTATATGACTTGGCCAGATAAAAACAAAATTTGTTTTCATTCCAATCTTGATAATTAAAAATAAACTATTTCTATTATCACGTCAATAATTAAAAAAAATTGTTAGTCTCTAACAATATATTAGTGACCGAGTTAGTGAATAAATGTAATTTTTAATGGAAAAATTGGAGTGATATTTGAAAACTGGTAAAAATGTCAAAACGTAGTAAGCTACGGGATAATTTGATTCATTTCCAGGGTATTGTAAAAAACAACATAAATATTACCATTCCATTTTTATTTCAAATATCATTTGGTGTCCTAAATAATAAATTTACTTTCTATTTGGTTAAGTCGTCAAGTGGTCAAGTAACCAATCGCAACCGCATCACTCGTAGCACCATTCATAGCCTAGGAACGGCGCTATCTCGATTCCAGGTTTATTATTTAAGAAAATTTTCGCCACTTTCCTTGCACAAAATTGAATAAATAGATTTGCACTTTTTCCAGCTTTAAAATAGGTCTCATTTTAATCATGGTTAAAATTATTTGTAGAAACCGAATTTTAAAATTCAAGAAAACAATTACGTCAAATTTAGAATAAGACTGCACTTTCAGAAACTCGAACGTAATATCCAGTATTTTCTCTTGTCTCATTTAATTTCTCTTTTTTTTATTTCTAGGATTTTCCGTTTACTGGGCCACCCGGTATAACTTTATATAAAGTTATAACTATGATCCCACATACGATTATATAAAATAAATATAATTTTATATGTTTATAGTAAACAAACAATATCAATATCTTTATGAATTGCGTTATTTACAAACAGATAACCTACAAGGTAAAATGTCGGTGCATTTGCATGGTTTTAATTCATCTTTAAAATCGGAGTAAAAGAGAATCAAAATCTCTTTTCTACTTCTAATAATTCAGATATTTCCTTTTGGTTTTCCCGGTTTGTCCCTCATTATAAAGCAGCTAAATTCAAGAACTACCAAGGTTTATAAACAAAGTCTTATATCTCCACAACAAAGTCTCTCATTGTTTCAATTTTTTGAACTTTTTCAGCGCATAATAAAATAATATTTTTTATGTCTCGTGAGTATACACGTAAAAGTATTAAGGAATAAAAAATTTGAACAGCAAAATGATTTTCAATATTTTCATTTGAAACCTTACGGGTTTTCTATGCCCAAAGGGCTTTTGTATTATTATTAACAGTTCGAGTTTTCAATAATTTTATGTATCATGCTTTAACTTTTCGTCTAAAAGATCCACGTTCGCAAGCGATTCGAGATCTGGTCTACCTAATTATTACATAAAAAATTTGTACATAGAAAATTAATAGAACCTAGCTTACGTTGCTTTAGAGACACACAATAAAACAAACAAAACCGAACTAACCAACAAACCGAACAAAATAGATATGGACCACACATTCTAGTATATCTACCAGAAGATCAAATAAATGATCTATGCCAAAATATTGGAGGCAACATCAAGTTATAATATAAGGAAATAAAATAAGTACCTATTATAATAAAAAATATACCATATACGTTAGTCTTATCATTTATCGTATTCTTGTTTGTATATTTTATGAAAACATATCTTAACAAACTTTTGAAGCGTGGCTTTGTAGTTATTTATTTTACAATAGTTTCGTGAGTCTATTTTGTGTTGGATAATAAATCTGTGTTTTTTTTTAATATATAACTATATTTTGGTTCAAAATTTGTTCTATTTAAGATCCCGAATTTTCTTCCATAAATTTTAATTTTTAACTAAATTACAAAGAATTCGCAATAATTTTTGGAAAAATTATTTGGGAATTTGTTAGTGTTATTACAGTGTTAGTGTTATTACAAAAATTTTATATTTCAAGTAAATAATACAATGTCCTTCTTTTAAAATGTCCTAACTTTGAACTAATTTTTAATGATTTTGAGACAAAGTAAATATGAAATCATGATAAAAAGCAAAGCCTTGCTTCAAATTCATGTAACATTAACTGAAAAAGTTCGGTAATTCCCTCAAAAAAATTGCATGCATGACAAAGCTATAAGTTAATGCCTCAATTTCATACAATTTAAAAAAATAATTTTTAAAGAACTTGCCTGGTTGGCAAAAAATCGGAGAAAAATGTTTTTCGTTGTAAGTTTTTACCTATTAATATATAATTTTTTTTTATATAGCGATAGCGTAACTTAAGTTTCATTCATGTAAGACATTGCTATTATTTTTGGCATTTTAATAGTGACAGGTATTGTCATAACCTTTGTTTATTATGGGTTGTCTCATGCTCTTTTGACATTAAGACTAAGTATAAATCAAAACCTTAAATGAACGATCTTATTGCGAAGCAATGGTTTAACTTTTTTAGAGCTATGACAAATGCAAACATTGTAACAAAAACAGTAAAAAGTGTTTAACTTTAGATGTATAAAAACCCTGTTATTGTTTTATTTCGTTTCTTTCAAGCAAACAAACTTAAATATTTTTAAAAATCCGATAACCTGCATTAAATAAATAATTTTTTTTTGTTAAGTTGTTACTTTTTGGACACTTAAATATAATTATTTAAAAGTGTTTCTACATTTTGTGGAGTATTATTGAACAGTGTTCATGATTTAATTAAAAACTGTTTATAAATATAGAGTTTTTTTGTGAACACTCTGAGTAATAATTATATTGTATTAAAGTTTGACGTTCGTAATAATGTTTTCTTTTTATTGATGTGTTTTTATTAATATTAAGTAAAATTTACTGGCATAACAAAAAAGTCGAATCAGTCAAACACTGTGCGGCAGCCGTCCAGACGACGTGCAAAAAAAAATCGCCGTAGAGAGAAAAAGTTCGATTCGGGGCGATAAAATATCCCGGGGGTCTCGATGGGCGACACAACCACGCAGGAGGAATCGAATTACGCGCGTATAGATAAAATATCGCCTTCGTCCGTCGTCGCCGAACACGACCCGACTCTCTCCGTCTCGACAAGCCTCGCCCACCGTCGTCTTCCCCACCATCGAGTAGTCGGCAACGTGGCCACGCCCACGTTCGTCTGAGGCCCCGCGACTCGCCTGTCACACTTTGAAGGACCACGGAACAGGCAGTCGGTCTCTTCGATTTTGATGGGTTCGTGACGGTCAGTCGGAACCGGCGTTGTCGCGTCTACTCTCTGGCATTAGAATTCGGCGACTTTTGTTGTCTGTGATTTTTTATTTCATTTTTGTATGGTGGTGTCGTAAATATTGAATCACGTTTCGATTGTCGTCTCGTGGAAAGGGGTGGGGCGTTTGGGGTATTTGATATTGATGAGAGGTGCGTTTGTTTTGATGTGTTATAGCCTTAAGTTAAGCAACTTTTATTTATTATTGTTTTTTTTTTTGGCTAAAATTTCTCGAGATGTTTAAATACACTCAATTTATTGTACAAGAAATCTCTTAATAACTTGCAACAGGTCTTCGATTTACACGAACTTTAAAAAGGTGCTAAAATTTGTTAAACAAAATGTATTTGAAAAAATTGACTCCATTATAATCAGCTTTAAAACCGCAAACGTTGAAATTCGAGACGATTTAATCTTCACATTAATTTGTAAATTTACTGTAACTACAAATCATTGAAATTTTGCATGTTTATATAGGAAAATAACTTTAAACACGAAATCATTTTGTAATTTTGATTATCGCGGAATATTATGATACATTTTTACTGTATTATTTTTATAGATTTAAATAGGATTTTCGTTATTTTTGTCCATTTGCTAATTTTTATTCCAAAACATAAAATACACTGTGGACTTTTTTGTATCTGTTTTTTGTTTTTTTGACATTTTCTTTTTTGCCCACTTTATTTTTGTTGCTTGGCTGATGCGATTTTTTTTCAAGAGCTATTACTATCTTTTATTAGTTTGATGCGATTATAGGATTTTTCTTCAGTACCTCAAAGTCACTTCTGTAAGCGTTTTCGTTAAAACCGAAAGCCTCAAAAAAACCCAATAATTTGATCCTTACTTTTATTAATAGGATAAAATTAGAATCCAAACGGATAATTAAACGCGACGGCTAACTTTTAAAAATATTTTTTAATAAAATGGGCTCCTATAGTATAGGTAATATATATACATCTACAGCATTATTTTATTTATTTATATTGAGCGTCAGGTAATATCGTTGACTGTAATAATCTTACTTATATCAAATACAAGTATCTTGTATATTTTAATTGATTTCTTCTAGGTAGTCCTTTGCAAATGGTATTATTTTTTAATTTATTAATTAATAATTATTCAGACAATTTTGGAATTGGAAATAATTATTTTTTGAAGTCTTTCTCAAACAAAAAGTCATTTTCTAAGGTTCAGTTCGAAATACTAAACATTTATAAATATGCTAAAGAAACCCAAAAATAAGCGTTTTTTTAAACCTAGGTCAAAAAAACTTTCCATAATTACGAAGTAAATATAAATAAATTTAAAAAATTTAACTTTATTTTGTTATACTATCTTGGCGCCCGCGAGGGCGCCCCCCTTTAATAATTTATACTATCTTGGCCGTTTTTTGACAATACTTTTCCAGCCCTTCCACTTTTTAGTCTTTCTCTTTAATCGTTTTCTCTGTCCTTTTTTTTTCTTTGTCGCTTTGGGTCCTCTATCTCAAAACCTGGGAGACATATCGCGAAAACTGAGTGGAATTCCAAAACTTCAAGTACGTAAACAATCTTAAAAACTAACGAAAAATATCAATTAAATATTTAATGCAAAATAACTGAAATCTTATAACTCAGTTTTTTTTTTAATTCTCTGTCTTATTGAGTATCCGACGAGTGACACTTTGAAACACTTTATCTGAAAAATAGAACAACAGAAGTTTGTATTAAGGGATATATATTTTTATAAAATCACATATTTCTTTATTTGCCTCGTCTAATTTTAAAATTTTACAGCAATTTCGTGTTGTTTGCTACCCAATTTTTACAATCCCCGTAATATCAAAGGTCCAAAAAAATCTTTTGACAATTGTAGAATATTTTGTCACTTTTGTCACAAATTGTATTGGGCCCTAATCGTATATATATATATATATATATATATATATATATATATATATATATATATATATATATATATATATATATATATATATAATCGCGTATAGTATTTGAGACCAAATTATTGTTGAAAATAATTTTCCTATTTTTGCGAACTTATGGTTAACAGGACGAAAACCCTTTCATTTACGTCGAAAAAATAGTAAATATTTATGTAACCGCCAAACTTGCCCAATTCTTAAAAGTTTTTTTTATTATTCTACGATTTTCAATTAAATGTACCCGAACGAGTCGCCGCTGCATTTTAACCCGATATTGTTATAGATCGTGTCGGTTTCTATCCTTTGTATATGGAACGTCGAGTAGATTTTGTGTCAGCAAACGCTCACCTGTTGTGTTAATTAATTATGTTGTGTGGTTCAGACATGTCTGCCTGTATTCACCTGTAGTCGGGTTTGATTACCAGTTTCAGTGAAACGTTTTTTCATTTTTGTTGTGTTGTTGTCGTCGTGATGTTCCGCCCGAAAGCTTTCACAAACGGTGAAACAAAATTTGAAGGAAATTACACCGCTTTTCAAATATTACGGTGCGTCGAATAGTGATTTGTGGAAAAATATCAGTTGTTGCTAATGCAAATGTACCAGGTCTTATTTATTTCGTGGTAAAATGGTTTAATATAATTTCTAAATAATAAATTCCGTTTCAAACTACAATACTGGGAAAATATCTCATTTAATGGGCGCAAAAATGACTTTTTTTCAACCAGAAATAAGGGAATATTTAAACAGACCGTATAACAACAATCCAGGAATTTTTAGGTAAAATGATACTTAACAATTTACAATTTACAACAATTAATATGCATTTTTACATAATTCCATTATATGGCGTTTATATTTTGTTTTTCTATAAAAAATGAAAATACTAGTTGTTCCAAAGATATCAAATCATTACGGTGAACATTTTTGTCGTATATATAGTTGAAACTGAACTAGTAAATTAGACCGCTAATTATTATTAGAGAATTATGTAGAACATGACAAAATGTGACAGTTAACTCTGTGGTGATGGCTGTTTCAGAAAAGATAACTCAAAGTTTAGATTAGTGTGTAGTAGATAACTACAAAAATGTTATAGCCAAATGAGGTGAAACAATTATAAGAGATATACAAGGTGTTTTCAAATAGTAAGTTGACTTTTAAGTTTTATCAAAAAGTATTTATTTATTTATCAAAATTAATGTCGTCCCCTTCAAAATATGCACCCCCGGATATATTCTTTCCACTCCTCGAAGCACTTTTGGTAAGCAGTTTCTGGTAAATCCTTGAGTTGTTCCAGGGATTTTTTCTTTATCTCCTCAATCCTTCCAAAACTCCTTGCTTCTTTCTGGGTTCTTCTGTTGGGACGAATTGGAGCCAATTTTGCTGCTATACGTTTCATGTCCATGACACGAGCAAATAGGTATGCCGACGTCTTCAACCACTTCTCTAATAGTTATTGACGTGCAAGTGTTTTGCAGCACCGTAATCCATTTTCCACATAAAATTTCTCTGTATTTGATTTTTTTTTTAACAAAAAGCGGAAATTCTATTATTTTTTAAAGTACTCAAGCGAGAACAAATTTTTTTCCTAACGTGGAATACTTTCTTTTGGTGGCAGGTGTGGGGTTGGGGTAAAGATTTTGGCGTTAGAGATCACCAATTTCAATTAGATAAAACAATTGCGCATCGACGAAACGAAATTAAAGTAAAAGTCGGGGTGAAAGAAAACGAACGCGACACAAAAAAGGAACCCCCGGCAGAGGGAAATAAATCGTATCGCGGGATTCCTTCGGGCGACTTTTCTACGCCCCTGTTTATTCCCATCTGGCGCATACTCCCAAAAATTAGCTTTGGGTTCGACTCTCGCGGCAATCCGGAGTCCACCCAGTCGGACCGATCAAAACGTCTGGATACGTCGTCGAGGTATAAATCCTACGCGGTCAGGATTTTAATTCGATTTTTAACGGAATTTAAGAGTGCCGTTTATACAGTGGAGGCAGTTGTGAGGAGGTTCGATTTCGCGCGTTACCGTAAATTCCAATTGGAGTGAAAATTATACGACGTCGTATTATGTGAGTACCGGTTTTGAGTGAGAGGGAAAAAATTATTAATTAATCGAAAGGAGGGGCGAGAAGAGGGCGGCCGCGGTTTGAATGAAATACTATTTGCTCGCGTGTCGCTCTTAATAGCTTTGTGCCCGCTTATCTAGATCTATGTGTTAAAACGCGCGCGACGTTCTGTTTACATATTTATTACGAATTTTATATTTTTCACGATAAAACCTGCAATTCCGGGAGGCGGGGTACTAAAATAATAAAACACAATTTGGATGATTTTATTTTGTATGCTCGTCTTACTATTGCTATAGTTACTAAGGAGTACATTTTATTAAGATGTGTCTTAAGAATATCTACTTATAACTTGCTCTTTTGGAAATATCCGAATAATCTTTATATTATATAGGGATAGGCAAAGAAAATATTAGTAAATAGCACTAAATTCTTAGGTTTACAAATTGACGAATTTCTTGATTGGTCTGAACATATTGATTATCTGCTAAACTAATTAAATTCAATTTGTTATGGAATTAGAGTCGTTGCAAATTATATGAATAATAGGAAACTTTAAAAATTTTTTACTTTGCAAACTTTCAGAATTATCTTTTGGGGAGGTCAACTACAGAAAATTTTCGTGGTTCAAAAGAGGACTCTTCGCACTGTTTAAAAAATGCAATTGAGAGAGAGCTGTAGAGGGGTGTTCAAGGCTGAAGGTATCTTTACTGTATCTGCTTTATATATTTATGAAGCATTGATATTCTTTTTTAAAAATCGAAAGGACTTCGAACTCCAGATATTTCATAGATATAATACCAGAACAGTAAATGTGAAATACCCTATTCACCGTTTAACCTTAACTGAAAGGAGTCCTTATTACATGTGCCTGAGATTGTACAATAAATTACCAAATGAGGTAAAAACCATTGCAAATCTAAAAATCTTTAAATACACAATAAAAAGTTATTGATAGAGTTAGAACCTTACTCCATAGAAGATTTTTTCTATAATATTTAAATAATTGTTTAATTAATAAGATGTAATTGAAATTTGTAAGAATATCTAGTGTTTTTCTTTTTTGACGCCGATGTGTTTGGTATATTATTTTTAGGTTATGTATTTATGTTGTAATTGTAGCGATGAGCAGTTTCTTATTTGTAGGATGATTGGAAAATACAAATTAGTTTTAAAGATACAAAAAAAAAATTAATAAGAATCATTTATTGTGTTATACACCCTCACGGAGCTGTGTAGTTGTGTTAGCAGTTTTAAATATTATTTCATAACTATAATTTCTACACGTCGGTAACGAAATCTTTAAGTAAGTGTGGTTAAATTTGTTAAAACAAAAAATGATAATTGCTAAACAATTATACGAAATATATGTCTAAAGCTATTACATTTTATATTGAAGTATTTATTACAATTCTGGGGTTGAATATTCGCAATATGTAAATTAGCAAGAACAGTACGGTTTCTAAAATATAAACAAAATAATTGATTGATTAAATTCTGTCTAGTTTCAAACATTTTACATTTTACAAGAATTTACTTACTTAATCAAAACAAATCCCTTCATAAAAACTAGAACGGAATTTTATTATTTTTATTTTTTGTTTCAATTGCTTATTTTCTTGATTTGCTTGAAACTCTAGTTTTATTTTAATATTTCGCATATGTTAATTTGTTTTTTTAACCGTGCTAAATGCTTTGTTTTTTTTTTTTAAATCGAATTAGCCTGTTTCCCTTAGTTGTGCTTTTGTAAATTGATGAAAGCAAATTGTATACTGACCAAAGCAATGTCTATACCATGCGTCATCGCACGTATTAACTTTGATCGTTATTTAGCTGTCACGATTTTAGGTGATGTGTAAATTCTTCGCGTGATTTCCCAACATATCGAAACCAACGCGGCCGAAATATGTAGAACTGCTTGCGCGCCATTTTAGGTAAGCGCTAGAAAAAAATGTGCTATACATAATTGGCGGAATAATTATAGGCATGGAAAGGTGAATCGTTTACCGTCTGAAGTCTTGGAGGCTTAGCTATTTGCGACTACGCGTATAAAACTTACCTTTGATTTAGATAGAAAGAGTTTTTTTTTGTTTGTACATATACTGTCAAATCTGGCCTGAGAATTTGAAAAACACTACCTAAGGTATTACCTAAATCGTTTTCTATTTTGGAAAATATTTTGTCCATCAAGTCATTTATTTTGAAATATTTGAGCCGACCTCATCTAAATAATAATTCAAAAAGTTTAATATATAGACGTTACTTCAGATAATTGTGGGATTACTGGCCTATCTCAGTCTTCTTTACGTCTATTATCAACAACTTATTTTAAACATCATTTTCTGTTGATGTCTCTTCGTTTTTTATTATTTATTTTTTTCTTTACACTTTTTAGTCCAAAGTCTTCCTCTTCAATCATACGTTGTTCGTTATACGTCAACTTAGCAATCTAGGAAACATAAAGCATCAAAGCGTCAAATTATTTTGCAGTGATAAATTATTTTTCCCTCTTTCAATAGGTGCAAATTCCAACCTATTTTACTAATAAATGATATAATGAAATAAACTTCCTTTGAATCATGCAATTTTGCAGATGAAAAGTAGATCTTTGTATTCCGACGGATACTTTGCGGATGTTGGACCAAGTGTTTCCGTTATACTTATATCTTATGAGCTGTAGCAGATGATTAGCCTTAGATTAGTCTAGATTAGTAGGCCTAATACCTCATAACTCAAAAAAAATTTAAATTGATCTACATACTTTAACAGTATTAAGAAATCTATAGGTCATCTTTGGAAAGGAAAAGTAATTCGTGGAAATGTTGCTTAATACCTAAGAAAGTACCTAAGAAAATGTCTACCACATGCTATTTTTTTTTTTAATCTGATTTAGTTTTGCACCAATAAGTTCGATTTTTTATTTATTTACACTCACCTTTTCAAGAAAGGTATAGGAATATTTAAGATAAATAGAACAATGTACTTCAAATTCCTGTACAAAAACTTAAAGTTGCAAACTTCGTATTATTTAAATTTGTATGTTTGGTGTACTTATCTCTATGCTTCCGTATGCATTTTTTAAGTATTTTAAACAATTTTGTCAAGTGGATGCTTCGGTTCTAACTGTTACATTTTTATTCAAAATTTATAAGATTTTAAAACTAGACTTTTTACATTTTTGTACGTACAAATAAAAGCCCGACCGGAATTTACTACAACTTCAAAGCGTCGAGACGAAAGACAAATTTCAAATTTTTTGAGTTCGAAAATCACATAAACTCTTTGCACCATTACATCAACTCCACGTTTGTAAACAGTACCCAAGAGAGATGGCGCTCGAGTCATATAAATTGAAATTAAAAGTCATTTAATTCTAAAGACAAAACATTACCCAAAAAATGTCAATATTTTTTTTTAGTTTGATGATAAAAATAAGAATTTATGAGATAATTAGCGTAAACTATTTATTGCGACAAAAAAAAAATATATAAATTTTATAAATAGATTATTAATTAATGACCAGTAAGAGCAAACAATACAAGACATAAAAAATCACAGTTAAAACAGGATCACCCATATCTTTATATAATATGGCTATCTATATAAATATATAAGTTGATTGGACCAGTAAAATATTACCTGTTTATTATTTAAATCTATTTTTTACAAAAGGATGGAGTTTTTATTAATATTAATTACCGGCATAATTAGCTACGTTCGTAATTTTTTAAAAATGAGAAGGCAAAAATAATTATTAATCGCCTGCATATTTTCATAAAGCAATTTATCCATACCTAAATAACCAAGAGGCGTCAATCCAAAATTAGCTATTAGCAAGTATTTAACTGCCACCCTCCTCGGTTAATTAGAAATAGCGCCCGCACCAATATATTTGACTACAAATACAAACACAAATATAAACATGTGTGCTCCTCAGAAACAAGTATATATTTATTTTTATCGGCCATAAGAATAGCTAAATGGTGTTTGCTTTCTTCGTCATCGGATCGAATCGAAAATTTAACCCGACGTTAATAGCCGTAACATAAACGTATTTAATCCTTCGTCCTCCGTCGGCGGCGCAGGCGGCGGCGAGGGGGTCGCACTTAATTTCTGCCGCCGCCGTCGCCACCGCGCACTCACATACACACGTCCAAGCGCCAATTCTAACCCCCCTCCCCTACCCCCACCTCAGCCCTGTCGTTTTTTTTTTCAGGCACCGCACATAACACCCGGGACAGCACGAAAATGTCCCCGAAGAAGACGACGACGACGACGACGACGGCGACGCCGTCGCCCGACGACAGCGCGCGAGACAAGGAAACGGCCCGGGCGTCCGTAACCACACCCCTTAAGGCCTAACTTCCATTCTCCTGCCCACTGCAAGTGTGAAAATGGTGGGGGTGTTGTCGCGACGCTATTGGTCGCCTACCTAACACCGACACCGCTCACGGCCAATCGCGAAGCGTCGGGATCATTAACACAGGCAAGTGTCGGAGTCGCTGGCTCGCCAGTATAGTCCGGCGTTGTCTTTTGTGGCGTTTAGAGGTGTAAGTTTTAACACTACGTCGTCCGGGGTGGCAACACACACACACACATATTTACACACACACATTCACCACACGTCCTACTTACTGCTTATATGAAACCATCGAAAAAAATTGTTTCGCGAGTGTGCGGACCCGCGTGACAGTTTCGAACGTTGACAGTGCGCGTTGTTTCGCCATCGTCAGGTCATTTTCGTTTTATATGATCGTAAATCGGCGGTGGCACCGAATCGCCGCTAAAACACGGGACAAATGCGTTACGAAAGTGGTCTGGACACAACAACGACACCGGACGCCGTGAAGAAAACGATGGCCTATCATCCGTTTCTTCAGTTGCCGCGACAGACCGATTTCAGCGTGTCATCGTTGTTGACCGCCGCCAATAATACGTCGCCGTCGAACACGTCGCCGACGGGGGCGGCGGCGGCGGCCGCGGCGGCCGGTTTTTTCCCGTCGTTGGCCGCTCTCGGCCAAAATCCCCATTCTTGTTATCCGGGAACGTTGATACCCAAGATACCGCATCCCCATCCTCATCACGCGCTCACCGGTCATCCCTACACGACGGCGGAGGACGTGGTGTTGGCCGCCGTGGCCGCTCACAATCACCACCCGGCCATGGTGAGACCCCTGAGAGCGATCCAGCCCGAAGACGACGGTGTGGTCGACGATCCGAAGGTCACGCTGGAAGGGAAAGATCTGTGGGAAAAGTTTCACAAGTTGGGCACGGAGATGGTGATCACCAAGAGCGGCAGGTAGGTCGATTTTTTTTTCCATCTTCGGGCGGGTAAAAGTGAAAGGCTTTGAGGTCGGCGGAGCAAACTGCCGCATTTTTTTCGACGTATTCATATAGGAATATAATTAGAGCATATTTTTTGGTTAAACATTTCCCTCTTTCAGCCCTAATCAGGAAAGAATTCTGATAAACAGAACTTTTATATTTATAGTAAATTAAAATATATGTGCTTCGAAATAGATATTTATTTACTCAGAGTCATAAAATATAATGCAAAAAAGCTGCCATTTTGCTTAGCTATCGTGGAGTTTAATTTACGATGGAAAATCTGGTAGCCAGAATAAAGATTTTCCAAGTGAATTTGTTATTAAACTAGAATCCGAAAAATGTAAGCTGTACAGAGTGATTCATGGATATAATTGAAGATGTTTTAATTGCATAATATAGATGAAATGTGTTTTTGATGATTTTGTGTTATTAAGATTGCTTTCGAGAACCACTCTACGCAAGATCTAATTTTTTAAATATAAATTATTACACCTTTAATTATATCTTTTTTTATTGGCACTAGAAATCGGCATTTTTCAAGGTTTGGCCCATCACATAAGTTGGGCTACTCGGCACCTATCAATTTTGTCTTGGTGCCCTCGTGAAAAACCTAAGAAACTGGTGTTGACATAAATAATAATTTAAATAATTAATTTATTTCTGTCCATCTCAGATTAAAAGTGGTCCAACGTAATTTAGAATAAAAAAATCTTAGTGCAGTTTATCAAAATATAATTAGTGAGAAATATAATACCGTCAAATAAATGCAGATCAGCGCAACAACGCAGTTGCTAATGTCTAAGAGATACAGATGTTAAACGATCATTCACAAATAATACAATTTACGGGTTCATAAAGTCCAATATTTGTAATAACTACTTTAATTCGCCCCGCAGACCTAAATTGGTTCTGTAGGGCAAGGTGCAGCATGGAGGAGGCCCATCTCAAAAATTAACCAAAATTTTCATTTCGTTGTTAGGTATAATTATAAATTCTGGTTATTTGAGTAATACCAGGAGCAAAATAGACCGCTTAAAAATTCTAAAAAAAGCTATTCCATATTATTATAATCGAATCATAATTAATTTATTGAAAAACAAATTTTTGGATAATTGTATGGATTTAGCCTAAAGCCAGAGCTTTCGAAAATCTTATAAATAACAGTAACAAATTTTTGTAAGCCATAGAAAAATAGTTACTAATCAGGAACGTATTTTTTATTAAACACTTTTTAATAAATGATTTTAAGAACATTTGCCATAATTTCGGTAAATTTAGTTAAAGTTAGAAATATGGTTAAAACCCACAAAAAATAATAAAAAAATAAGTGGGTCGCCTTGTCCCACCCTCCCCTACGTAATATAAATCAAAGCCAACCCAACCAATAAATTTTCAAATGTAAAAACTAACCAAAATAAACCAAAACTAAATGAATTTGTCCCTGATTTTTTCTTATTTGCTTCATTATGTGGCCTTGAGCTAATATCCGCTACAGATTTCTTGTCGCAGATATAGATTCTTATAGACGAACAATGCCTAAGTAACTAATAAAGATTAGTAGAGGTTTTTATAAGTTATAAAACTTTGTAATATAAATCAAAGCCACCCAACCATTAAACTTTCAAATGTGAAAATTTAAATGGCTTTTGACTACTACACTAAAATAAACCAAAACTAAATCGATTTGTCTGTATTATTTCAAATCTTTTCCTGATTTTTTCCTATTTGCTTCATTATGTGGCCTTGCGCTAATATCTGCTACAGATTTCTTGTCGCAGATATAGATTCTTATAAACCATAAATGACGAACAATGCCTAATTAACCAATGAAGATTAGTAGAGGTTTTATAAGTTATAAAACTTTGTATTACTATTTTGGAATATATATTTGACAAAAATATCGGAGGCACCGATGACAAAAAAATAGTAGATAGTGTTTTGCACCTCATACTAAAAAAAGAATTGAAAGGAAATAGGGCAAAAAACTAGACATGGGCGCTATAGGTTAAGCTTGACGTTTATTTTCTTTTTGGAATTTTTTTTTATTGCGTCTAATAAGAATTTGAAACCAAGTTATCAACAATTTTGAGATGGGTTGCTATATGGAAGTTTTTATTTTAATTTTTAATAATTTTATATGAAACTAATAAGGTAGATAGGTAGAAAAGCTGAAATTGTTTTGTTGACGAAGTTGTTTGTTTGACGAAGCAATTACATTCGTGTGTAGAGCTCGTCGCTTTCATTGACCGAGCAGTACTGCTTTAAACTGTAATCCTTATCATCATATGGTGTTCAAAAGCAGTTTATTTAAACTGTAAATATGTAAAAAGTACGTGAGTAACCGATGATTTTAAACGTATCCAAATATATTAAAAAAAATTAATGAATAATAGAAATAAATAAAATATTGATGTTCTATGCTGAAGGAATGATAGACAATGTTTGAAAAGAAGTAGGAAACAAAATCGTGGAACTTCGAGTCCAAATTATCAACAATATTAGAGTTAGGTAATAAATTCGATATTTCCTGATGTAGCTGCAATTTGATTTTAATTTTCACTGCATTTTTGTTTAAATTTGATTCTCAAAAAATTGGACTTCTTGTCCAAGTTATTTATAACGTCGAATCAATTTATAAGCATTTTATAAAATATAGAGTTGTACCGTTTTAATTTATTAACCAGATGATGTTCCTAGTGAACTTCAATGTCAACATGATCGACAATTCTTATTAATTTTATTATCTAGCCTATTTTTTTTTTAGTACAATGTTTAGTGGATCAAGACTAAGTTTGTACAGCGCTGTACAGCGCTTAGTTAAGCTCGAAAATTATTGCGAACTATTTTTAACAGATATAAGTATGTAAATACATATATGTAAGGATGTCGCGATAGCGTAAAAAAAAGTGTTTATTTGTTTAACGAACGGGGTATTATTCAAAACATTATTAATATACACGAGCCTCGTACACAAACCGTAGAACAACAATGTCCTTATTTATATCGTACCTTTAACGATTCATATATTTATTGCACCTAATGAACCTTTTACTGCGTCGTTAATACATTTTTTGACCCGTCACCAGCAATTAAGCTGTTCATTTTTCGCGATATTTCGTTATTTGTTGACAAAAAAACAATTTCGTCGTTTTAATTCGAAAGACACCATTAAGCTAGTATAATTTTAAGACATTGTAGAGTTTCACGTTTCGTTTGTTATTTTAAAGTTGTAGAGGTTCCAAATTTGGCCGGAACCCAACTCGCACGCCGTCCCCGTTTAGGCCTAAGTTTGAAGTTGAAAAAGATCGAGTCTGTGGCACTTCTTGAATTTCACGCCATCCTTGATTTTTTTTGTTTTTTTTTTTTTAAGGCTAATCTGGTGCAAGCGGCTATAAGCGTTTTCTTTTTAAAAGTGCAACACTGCGTTCCGACGGCAAAAAATCGAGGCTATAAAAAAATTATTTTGGAAAGTTTTTCGGACTTTCAATTTGGTACTTGCAGGCGTTCAAAAATCAAAAAAATTAACTAACTTACTTATTAATTAACTTACCAATTTAAGTCGGTACAAAAATTTTCGCCACGAATCGCTAAAGAAGACTTTAGCAACCGGTTAAGCTTGCAATGGCGGTTTTGTGGTAATAATGACATGTGGTGGCAATTTTAGTCTATCAGAAATTTTTATATTTATAGTAAATTAAAATATATGTGCTTGGAGCTAGATATATATTTATTTACTCATACATTTCTCGTACTGCAATTTACGGAAAAATTAACTAAATTGAGTTTCATGTTCCGTTGAAATTTCGGTTAGAAAATAATGGCCATTGTAATTTTTTCAGCTATTCACCTAATAGATGTTTTTAGCGTGATTGTTATACTGTATATTGACATTTAACCGTCGACTAGCTGAACAAAATTTGGTCGGTTGTAACGTATAATTTTGGTTTGTTTGATTTAGATTTTTGGTTTTTATGGTCGTAGCAGTTATTTTGCCTCTATAATGTTTTTCTGATGCCATATTGTTTACTGATGCATTCTGTTTCTACTTATTCATATAAAAATTGCATAACGCCTCGTTTTTTTCGACTTACTCATATCAAAAATATAAGGCAAACAAATTTTTTGGTTAAACATCTCCCTCTTGCAGCCCTAATCCAGAAATATTTCTAATAATCTTTTCTGCGTATATGCTATTCTACTATATAAACATAAGTCAGGAGAGTCATAAAATATACAATGATATAATTTCAAAAAAGCTGCCATTTTTGTTAGCTATCTCCGAACAATGTAAGCCTACAGTGTGGTGTAGATATTTTAACTTTGATGATTTTGTGTAATTAAAATTGTTTTCGGGACCACAATTTCTTTTAGATGATGAGCGCATGGTATCTATTTATTCTTATTATGTATTTTTGTTAATACAATTTGTGTAACAGATGCATTTCAAAAATTAATAATAATCAAAAAGTTGCTTTTGAGGTCGAGCTTTTAGAGGAGATTTTAGAACTCAGCCTTTTGGGGGGGATTTTAAAGGTCGGCCTTTTAGAGGGGCTTTTAAAGCTAGAGCCTTTGGAGGTCGAATTTTTAAAGGAGCTTTTAGCCATTAAGATAATTATGCAACTTTACGTATTACGGAAGATAATGATTTTGTCGTTACTTTTAAAGTATTGGAGAATCAAAAAATGGTATTGAAATGGCAATTGCGATTGGAGTCGATCAGCTATTTACGCTTTTCGTACGCCAGAAACGTTTATTTATTTTATTTATTTATTTATAAAATGTAGTGGGGTTTTGAAGTACTACTACAAACTTTTAATTTTCTAAAGAAACCAGAAAGAAGCTCGGTTAAAAGCATTTTATCAAAGCGAGTTGATTAAATCCTAATACTTTGAGATCAATATTATGCAGTGTATATATTTCCAAATATTAGTTGTTTTAGTTTTTTAGTTTTAGTGTTTTTATCTACTCTAT